TTAGATTTTCATTATAATTATATAAATTTGATTTTTTTTATTTAACAAAAGTATTAATAGTCGATAATGTTACATAATTAAATGAACGAAAACTCGAAAGGCTTTTTTCTTTGTAATAAAGAAGGACTCTTATGGTTATCTTAACAATAAGCTAATTCTTACAGAGTATATACTTTTTATCTAAGCAAAGAGGGGAGGGAGTTAACTTTATAAGGAATGGAGCTAACTAGACAATTTCACGTGTCCTCGAATAATCATTACTATGGTCAATAATATTACATTATACATACAATATCTTAAGAAATTTACGAAACATTTTCGTTATTACAATTAATACAAAAAATAAATATTCTTTTTCTAATTGATTGTTCGTTTTTATTAACACACACACACATACATACACACAAAGAAAGAGAGAGAGAGAGAGAGAGAGACGTTCGCACGTGACTGCAAAACGTATATATACATTTAGCACGTGAATTCCTTAGATATTTTTTTTTTTTTTTTATTAAAAGAAATGTGTTGATCTCACCTATCCTGAGTAATCTGTCATAATCAATTTAGATATCGACCTGAAGTCACGTAAGAATGACGTATTTATGTTACTTTGTAATGGACGCGATCGACCTTGCGAATGGAGGAGCTCGCGATCGACGCGTGCAATATAGTGAGTTACGACGCAGCAAATAACCGGTTGGAAGGGGTCAGTAGCCGTCATTGTCAGGGACGTTAGGCTCACAAGGACACAAGACCGAAGCACGGACAGCATCATTCGCCTTCTCCGATCGTCGCAGACAAGTAGTCGACGTCCTGTCTTTTCTCGATTTTTCGATAACATCTTTTTTTTTTTTTTTATCTGCTCATATCAAAGATGCGTAAAGTAGCATAATACCGGTGTTTCTTCACAACGACGTGAGATCACAATTTTTCGAGAGAGATATATATATAATAATAATAATAATAATAATAATAATAATAATAATAAACTTTGTTAGTGCAAGAAAAATTTTATCAATCTTAATATTAATTATAATTGGTCCAAGTATCTTTTTTTTTTCTTTTTTCTATCACATTTAACATAATACCAATGTTTCTTTATATCTATGCAAATTCTCGATTTCCCCGCGAAGAAATAAATAAATTTAATAATAAATTGTTTTATGTTAGAAATTATATTAATTGTAATATTAATATAATATTAATAAAATATTAACTGTAATTGTCACTTTTGTTTAACATGATATGCCAATGTTTCTCTGCGTCGATATAAATTTCTAATTCATGTATGAAAGATAGAGATAGAGACAGAGAAAGAAAGAGAGAGAGAGAGAGAGAGAGAGAGAGAGAGAGAGAGAGACAACAAAATAAAAAAATAAAAGAACAAAAGAATAAATTAGAAAAATGTTATTGGTATAAGAGTTTCATGAATTATTATTATTATTAATTATATTTGATCGAATTGTCATTTTTATCGTTTAATCGAACTTTATATACAATTTTAAAATAGGATAATAGGGATAATGCTTGATGTGACATGGATCTTGAAATAGTCATAAGAAAAGTTCAAAGGATTAAAGATAATCTCAATGACTGTTGCTAAAGCGTACTATAACCTATTAAACTATTATTTGCGAAATAGGACTTTCGTTCGTGTATTACTAACGAAGAGGCATTAACTATCACTTACGCGTAATTTTCAAGCCCTCTAATTATGAAGTCTGCCGTCCACCATGAAATACATTTACGACCAGTTCTCTTCTTACATTTGCTTGATGTCTTCCTTTCTTTAAGGTGCTGACCGATTAAGCAATGTGATTAAATTACGAATATGTCTCTCTCTCTCTCTCTCCCTCTTTCTCTCTCTCTCTCTCTCTCTCTCTCTCTCTCTCTCTCTCTATCTCTCCCCTTCTCAAGAAAATGGCATACATATGTATACCCTTTTATATTATTGGATCGAAGTCCAACGCGTTGTGGTTTCCTTTCGTTTTAAAATTGTTACGAAAACGAGAAACCCTTTGATCATTGATAAGGTCAGAGTTAAATTCTTACGAAAAGAAGAAAATTGCTGAATGTATAAATTAATCAAATTAATCGTTATAAACGAATTAAATAAGCAATTAAAATCTTTTATCAAAAATTAGATCTATCTATCTATCTTTCTATCTGTCTATCTATCTAACTATTTATCTATCTATCTGCATTATTAATTTTGAATAATTTCACGATTATATAGAAACGAAGCAATGGAATGAAGCAATATCGATATTTTTAATAGTGTGGAACTTACTTTTTAATAGATCTATATATTTTTTGTTATTCGTTTTTTATTTATATTTTTAATGTACCAATCAATTCTCTCTTTCTCCTGCGATCCTTTTACATGGATGCTCAATGACAAAGTAACAAATTGAACTATACATCAAGTATACTGACAGATGTGTCCTTCTTTTTACTATTACCTCTATGCACCTGTTTCTTGATCTTTTTAAAGATCTGTAAGGACGATCTATATTTGGCGCGAAGTTTATTGGATTAGATCAAACATCAGAGATCTTAATTACATTGACATTTATAATCGATGACATATGTAGAAATGAACGTATCGAAATATCGAATTTTATTTTGTCGACAAGTTAGATTTTTTAAATAAAGCTAGTTGAAACATATTATTTAAATTATCTAAATCAATGAACGAATATATCTATACGTTGATATATTACGTACGTAATATAAAACGATCGATTAAAAATTACCTTGTATATTCTACCTTTAATTAAAATAATAAAATATTAATATAAGAATAAACTCATGAAAATGTCAATATATATTTTTCTTATTTCTTAATCATTATTATTCGATTTGTTTTTGTTATATATATATATATATATATATATATATATATATATATATATATATATATATTATTAACATATATATTATATTACATTATTATTACATTATTGCATTATTTCTCTTATACACACACACATATACACACACACACACACACATACACAATTGCATAGATATATTATATTATTAATACAAATTCAAATATATATATGTTATTCAAATCGTTAAACAATCATAATATCCATGAATGAATTCATTCACGTAGAAGGAAAAAGAATATGTACAAAAGAAAATGATAGGTTATTTCATAGTGCAGACAGGGAACAAAAAATAAAAAGAGAAACAAAAAGGCCTTCCTTGAACGATTCCCCAGTGGCCCGAAGATACATCACAGACCTTCTGCTTCGAGTTCTCTTCTCCGATATCGAGGATCCTTTCGTTATTCCACGCGTACAACAGACTAACCTCTCTCGTATTTTCTCGAAATCGTAAATTTTACGTATATGTGTGTATCTGTATAGACATATGTGTACATATATATATATATATATATGTGTCTATACGCACTCATACACACACATATTCATACATAAGCATTCTCATCGAAGCGCATCGCTCTGGAACGAGTAAGCATTGAGCAATAAGTGCGAGAATGGTCACCGAGATAAATCGAGATTCACAAGGATGCTGCTGCTCCGTTTCGCACGTTTCAATCCGATTGAAATCCTCTTCGACTTCTGCATTTACGGAATTAAGGTGACACTTTGTGAATGCTGACCGCATTCTATCGTTAAACTGTTTGACGAAACATTATCGCTAATCGAATTCTTTGCTAGATACGAGTAGCAAGCAAATATTTATTTACAATGAATCCAAATTTCTTTAATCCTTTGTGTATATTTGTGTATATATATATTTATTTAATTATTTCCTTTTTTTCTTCCTCTCTTTTGCCTTCAGAGTGACTTATATGAGTGTAACAAAGTGATAAATAACAAGAAATATTTTAACAAATTTAGAAAATTTCTTTATGTCATCAATGATCATTATAATCATTTTTTTCTTCATCCTTTCATCGAATTTCTAATTTTGTATAATAACGAGTAACAATAAAATTCTGTTCGTTAACATATTCTAAAATTCTCTTTATAGTAAAATTATCAATGATTTCTATATAATTTATACGCATTAAAATCATCAATATTTTTAAATGTTTATTTATCATAAACATCACTCACATATTTTATATATTTATTTGTATTATTTATGCAAATTTGTAGATATACTTGTCGTGTATATATATAATACAATTGATAATATTTATATACACAATCAATAACGAAACGATGCTAGAAATATATTTTTCAAATAAAAAAAATGAAAAAATAAAAAGCAAATAAAGAAAAACCGCTCAAATTCTACCGCAGTTTATGTACTGGTATCTCTATGCGGTTCCCAGGGGAGACCGCGAAATTGTAGTAGCAGTGTTATATCGGACGATGAAGGGTCGCAAGAGAATTCTCGTTTGTAAAATTTACGTGACCACGTATGGACGTGTCGTCATGATATTCGTAGATACAATATCTGCGAATTTATATAACTTCCTCTCATTTGTATTAGCGATTTTCTGTTACTACGTATATTTTTATAATAGAAATTGAGATTAATAGCATCGAGTGTACGAAACGCAAATAGGAAGGAAAAAGAAGGGATGACGAGAAAGAGAGAGAGAGAGAGAGAAAAAATTAATCGATATATCGATTAATTTTTAAATATAAAAAAAAAATATTATACGTTTTAATTAAACAAACTAGATATTGATTCTTGCAAAGGCGTTTCCTTTATTTCACATATAAACTATACATAATGGCATCCCACCATAGGAGTCTCGAACCATCGTTATAAAATTATGTATATGGATGTGTATATGAGAGTGTATAATATAAAAAGTATAAAATTACTATAATATTATGTTAACATCTCTTTGCTTAGGACAAAATAAGGATGATAATGTTCGGAGAAATGGAGAATATTATTCGGATCTTTGTTGAGCATATGTGTTATTATTATATATAGAGCATGATAATTAATATATTAAAGATCCGAATAATTGTCCCTGTTGATATTTTTTCTTAATGGTAAGGGATCGATTTAATAATATTACGATATTATTTTAATATCGAAATAAATAAATATATCGTGCAATAATACCTTGCGAGATAGGTTCCGATAATTTTTTCGTTATGTCCACTTAAATCGCTCTTAATTTAGTATAATTTTACGAAAGTTCTTTCGCTACTAACTTTCTGATACAAGTACGTGAAAAATTCAAAGTAATTACAAATATTACGATAATTGTCTTATTTTCAAAAAAAGAAAAAAAGAAAAAAAGAAAAAAGAAAGTAAATGAAAATATTGAAATATTTTACATACATAGAATGCGTCCATTTCAATGGCTATATACAATACAAGACAGATATAACATCTAATTTCTGTAATTAGTATCTTACAATCCTCTTCTCTGTTTGCATCTTGAAATGAAAAAAGGCAGACCCGTAATCTATTAAAACTTATTTAGTGACATAAAAGACGAAAGCTTTTAAGAACCTCAAGGAAGTAATTTATAAAACTCATAAAAGAAAGTAAGGATAAACTTATATAATAGTAACATTAAAAGTTACTTTCAAGAAAACTATACGATGAAAGAAATGTCGCAAAGGAAACGATTACATTATCCATTGAAATGAATACCATATTACTTAACTTAGCTAATAGGTAAGAAGGCTTGTATTTACAATATGGTTCAAGTATCACCAACGGCGATTGTTAGGCGTTAAATTCGGAGTTAACGCTATTATATAATTGATAGGATTAACCGCGTCGGGGTGGCAAGTATTCGCGCTCTGGTTTAGAAGGCCCTTGTGGCGGAAATGGCGTGTCTCCTGGTTTACCATCAGGAAAACCATCAGGTCTTGACGGACCCGATGGTTTACTGGGTACAGATGGTCCACCTGGTCTATATCCCGGTTCTCCTGGACCACCAGGACCATGAGGTTCAGACGGTGCTAAATATTGAGGGCCACCGGGATATCCCGACCCACCTGGTCCACCTGATCCACCGCCAGGAAAACCTCCAGGTCCACCTGGTTTTCCGCCTGGTCCTTCTGATCCTCCTTGTCCTCCTGGACCACCATGTCCTCCTCCACCATGTGGATAACCTCCTGGACCACCTGGTTTGCCGATAGGATAACCTCCTGGTCCTCCTGGTCCACCGGGTCCGCCACCTGGATAACCTCCTGGACTTCCTGGACTACCAGGTCCTCCTGGACCGCCGGGTCCGCCACCTGGATAACCTCCTGGACTACCAGGTCCTCCAGGACCTCCGGGACCACCACCAGGATAACTTCCAGATCCACCTGGACCACCTGGTTTACCACTAGGATAGCCGCCAGATCCTCCTGGTCCTCCTGGCCCTCCTGGTCCTCCTGGCCCTTCGGGTCCACCACCAGGATAACCTCCTGGCCCTCCTGGCCCTCCTGGCCCTCCTGGCCCTCCTGGTTTGCCACTAGGATAACCTCCCGACCCTCCTGGTCCTCCAGGTCCACCACCAGGATAACCTCCTGGACTTCCTGGCCCTCCTGGCCCTCCTGGTCTGCCACTAGGATAACCTCCCGACCCTCCTGGTCCTCCTGGCCCTCCAGGACCACCTCCGGGGTAACCTCCTGGACTTCCTGGACCTCCTGGTTTGCCACTAGGATAACCTCCTGGCCCTCCTGGCCCTCCTGGCCCACCGGGACCTCCACCAGGATAACCTCCTGGACTTCCTGGCCCTCCTGGGCCTCCTGGTTTGCCACTAGGATAACCTCCTGGCCCTCCTGGCCCTCCGGGTCCACCTCCAGGATAACCTCCTGGACTTCCTGGCCCTCCTGGGCCTCCTGGTTTGCCACTAGGATAACCTCCTGGCCCTCCTGGTCCTCCTGGCCCTCCGGGTCCACCACCGGGATAACCTCCTGGCCCTCCTGGCCCTCCTGGTTTGCCACTAGGATAACCTCCTGGCCCTCCTGGTCCTCCTGGCCCTCCGGGTCCACCACCGGGATAACCACCTGGACTTCCTGGCCCTCCTGGCCCTCCTGGTTTGCCACTAGGATAACCTCCTGGCCCTCCTGGTCCTCCTGGCCCTCCGGGTCCACCACCGGGATAACCACCTGGACTTCCTGGCCCTCCTGGCCCTCCTGGTTTGCCACTAGGATAACCTCCTGGACCTCCTGGTCCTCCTGGCCCTCCGGGTCCACCACCGGGATAACCTCCTGGACTTCCTGGCCCTCCGGGTCCACCACCAGGATAACCTCCGGGACTTCCTGGCCCTCCTGGCCCTCCTGGTTTGCCACTAGGATAACCTCCTGGCCCACCTGGTCCTCCTGGCCCTCCGGGTCCACCACCGGGATAACCTCCTGGCCCTCCTGGCCCTCCTGGTTTGCCACTAGGATAACCTCCTGGCCCTCCTGGTCCACCTGGCCCTCCGGGTCCACCACCGGGATAACCTCCTGGCCCTCCTGGCCCTCCTGGCCCTCCTGGTTTGCCACTAGGATAACTTCCTGGCCCTCCTGGTCCTCCTGGCCCTCCGGGTCCACCACCGGGATAACCTCCTGGACTTCCTGGCCCTCCTGGCCCTCCTGGTTTGCCACTAGGATAACCTCCTGGTCCTCCTGGTCCTCCGGGTCCACCTCCGGGATAACCACCTGGACTTCCTGGCCCTCCTGGTTTGCCACTAGGATAACCTCCTGGCCCTCCTGGTCCTCCTGGGCCTCCTGGCCCTCCGGGTCCACCTCCGGGATAACCACCTGGACTTCCTGGCCCTCCTGGACCTCCGGGTCCACCACCAGGATAACCTCCTGGACTTCCTGGCCCTCCTGGCCCTCCAGGACCACCACCGGGATAACCACCTGGACTTCCTGGCGCTCCTGGTCTGCCACTAGGATAACCTCCTGGTCCTCCTGGTCCACCTGGTCCTCCTGGTCCTCCTGGTCCACCTGGTCTTCCGCTAGGGTAGCCACCAGGTCCTCCAGGTTGACTTGGTTTGTCAATAGGATACCCTCCAGGACCTCCTGGACCTCCAGGTCCTCCAGGATAACTACCTGGACCACCAGGGCCTCCGGGCCCTCCGGGTCCTATGCCAGGGAATCCTCCTGGTCCTCCAGGTCCACCAGGGAACATTTCAGGCCCACCCATTATGTTATAGTCATAAATATTTTCATTCAAGTAGTAGAAGTTTGGCGCCGTGCTACAGTCAAATTGATTCCACCACACACAGACAAAATACTGTTGATGGAAAATAGTCCCGTTAGGGCAAATGAAATCGTAGGTTTTGTTATTGGCACAAATATGAAAGACTTGACACTGAGCTTCAACGTCCGCATAATATCCAGGGAACTGTTGATTTTCACAACGGAAACTAGTTTCGGGTACTTCTGAATATATAGGATAATCACGACCAGGTTCGCCAGGGATTGCAGAATAGTCGCCTTCGTCGTACGGTTCTTCAAAGCCACCTGGGCTTTGTCCTCCATTGGGATAACTTCCAGGACTTCCTGGACCACCAGGTCCACCCGGTCCACCGCCAGGATAACCTCCTGGTCCTCCTGGGCCTCCAGGACCGCCGCCAGGATAACCTCCTGGTCCTCCTGGAGTTCCAGTTCCACCAGATCCACCTGGTCCACCGGGACCTTGTGATCCTCCACCTGGATATCCCCCAGGTCCACCTGGTTTACCGCTAGGATAGCCACCAGACCCTCCTGGTCCTCCCGGCCCTCCGGGTCCACCACCGGGATAACCTCCTGGACTTCCTGGTCCTCCCGGCCCTCCGGGTCTACCCCCGGGATAACCTCCTGCGCCTCCTGGCCCTCCTGGTCCACCGGGACCTTGTGGTCCTCCACCTGGATATCCTCCAGGTCCTCCTGGTTTACCGCCAGGATAACCACCAGACCCTCCTGGTCCTCCCGGACCTCCGGGTCCACCGCCGGGATAACCTCCTGGACTTCCTGGTCCTCCTGGTCCACCAGGACCTTGTGGTCCTCCACCTGGATATCCTCCAGGTCCACCTGGTTTACCGCTAGGATAGCCACCAGGCCCTCCTGGTCCTCCCGGCCCTCCGGGTCCACCACCGGGATAACCTCCTGGACCTCCTGGTCCTCCTGGCCCACCAGGACCTTGTGGTCCTCCACCTGGATATCCTCCAGGTCCACCTGGTTTACCGCTAGGATAGCCACCAGATCCTCCTGGTCCTCCCGGTCCTCCGGGTCCACCACCGGGATAACCTCCTGGTCCTCCTGGTCCACCGGGACCTTGTGGTCCTCCACCTGGATATCCTCCAGGTCCACCTGGTTTACCGCTAGGATAGCCACCAGACCCTCCAGGTCCTCCCGGCCCTCCGGGTCCACCACCGGGATAACCTCCTGGTCCTCCTGGTCCACCGGGACCTTGTGGTCCTCCACCTGGATATCCTCCAGGTCCACCTGGTTTACCGCTAGGATAGCCACCAGACCCTCCTGGTCCTCCCGGCCCTCCGGGTCCACCACCGGGATAACCTCCTGGTCCTCCTGGCCCACCAGGACCTTGTGGTCCTCCACCTGGATATCCTCCAGGTCCACCTGGTTTACCGCTAGGATAGCCACCAGACCCTCCTGGTCCTCCCGGCCCTCCGGGTCCACCTCCGGGATAACCTCCTGGTCCACCTGGTCCACCGGGACCTTGTGGTCCTCCACCTGGATATCCTCCAGGTCCACCTGGTTTACCGCTAGGATAGCCACCAGACCCTCCTGGTCCTCCCGGCCCTCCGGGTCCACCACCGGGATAACCTCCTGGTCCTCCTGGCCCACCAGGACCTTGTGGTCCTCCACCTGGATATCCTCCAGGTCCACCTGGTTTACCGCTAGGATAGCCACCAGACCCTCCTGGTCCTCCCGGCCCTCCGGGTCCACCTCCGGGATAACCTCCTGGTCCACCTGGTCCACCGGGACCTTGTGGTCCTCCACCTGGATATCCTCCAGGTCCACCTGGTTTACCGCTAGGATAGCCACCAGACCCTCCTGGTCCTCCCGGCCCTCCGGGTCCACCACCGGGATAACCTCCTGGTCCTCCTGGCCCACCAGGACCTTGTGGTCCTCCACCTGGATATCCTCCAGGTCCACCTGGTTTACCGCTAGGATAGCCACCAGACCCTCCTGGTCCTCCCGGCCCTCCGGGTCCACCACCGGGATAACCTCCTGGACTTCCTGGTCCTCCTGGACCACCTGGCCTGCCACTAGGATATCCTCCAGGCCCACCTGATCCTCCTGGTCCTCCACTGGGATAGCCTCCTGGACCTCCTGACCCTCCAGGTCCACCTGGTCTGCCGCTGGGATAGCCTCCTGAACCTCCTGGCCCTCCTGGTCCTCCAGCTCCACCCCCAGGATAACCACCTGGCCCACCAGGTCCACCTGGTCTGCCACTAGGATATCCTCCAGGTCCTCCTGACCCTCCTGGTCCTCCGGATCCGCCGCCAGGATATCCTCCTGGTCCGCCCTGCTCACCTGGTTTTCCGCTAGGATAGCCGCCTGATCCTCCGGGTTCACCGGGTCCTCCAGGACCACCGGGCGACGGATAGCCTCCCGGATAACCTGAATCCGATGGACCAGGAGCACCGGGTGGTCCAGATGGATAACCACCAGGAGCACCAGGATAACCTGGACTTCCTGGCTTACCACCTTGGTCGCCACCTGGCCCACCTGGTGTTAGCGGATTGTTAGGCCTAGGATAACTGTAACCGTGTTCTGCCTGGAATTCGAATAATTACTCATTCTAATATTTTTACAATAGATAAGTCCTTAAGAGGGATTTTGTCGTAGAAATGACAAATATTTTTCCTATTGTTAGTTTGACATTTAAAAGAAAATTGCTATAGCCCGATGAATCATTAAGACTCTACCACTTTGATTTTCCGACACTACCCACAAGCAACGTGAATCACTTAACCACTTTAGAATATTACGTACGTTGACATTAGACACTTATATTCCTTTCCGACTTATACATTACGATCTCATCGCAAGTATAGTCAGGGGAGTTACACGCGGTAGTTTCTGTATTCTATACTTGGTGTAATTCATCGAGATTACGTCATCGTAAAAAAAGGAAAACCGTTCGAACCGTTGACGACTTTGTGTGACTAGATTATGCAATTGCTAATAAGAATTTCACGCTGGAAGATTAATTTTCATTAGGGTTACACGCTTGTCAAAAAGTAATAACAACTTCATTTAGCAAATGTATTTATAACGATATATTAAAACGATCGAATACTTACCGTGCAAGCGTGAAAGATAGCTAGCGAGGCTGGAACATGTAAACACAGGTATCATTACTACGACGTAAACACATATTACATATACATACACATGAGTGACTCGATTTATTGCTAACAAATTAAATAAATCATTGTTATGCGCATGAAAAAAAAAAAAAAGAAAAAATTATTAATTTATTTCTTTGCCTTATATTAACAAATAATTCGTTACATCCTTTATACGTAAATATACATATCTATGTGTACGTATATGTATGATAAAAAATAAATCAAGGACTTCACGAATAATAATCAATTTCATTAATATATCAACACCTCTCTTCTCTCTCTCTCTCTCTCTCTCTCTCTCTCTCTCTCTCTCTCTTTCTCTTTCTCTTTTTTAAGGATTATTTTGATAAACTTTTCTTCTTGTTCGAGCAAAGCAATAATTTGAGTGCTTAAAAGACAAACGTTAAACAAAACTCATTGCGAAAACACGCGATGAAGAGACTCGGTAAAACTTACGCGTACTCTGAGCCACGCGTACATATTACATTGATTGAATGTAAAGAAAAATGTGTAAGTGTTTCTTCGTCCCTTTCCCATCCTTTGTTTTGTTGATCGTCTCTACTACCAGCGCACAACACACGACCATCTTTCGTCCTTTTCTTTATAACTTATAAAATTCCCTCTCTCTCTCTTTCTCTTTCTCTGGCTATCTGCCTGCCTGTCTGTCTGTCTGTCTTTTTCTTTATATTTTAAGTTGAGCGAATGCATGAGAAAGCACGGATTCCTTGTCACGTCTTAACCTCTTTCTCTCTCTCTCTCTCTCTCTCTTTCTCTTTCTTCTTTCTGTCGGTGATAGTCGACAATGCTTCTTAATTAATTAGGCGGGAAGTTATGTCAGAGAGATATTTCAGGTCATTTCTCTCATGTGAGATTCGCACGCAAACCACCGTCACCACAACGAATTGCGTACGCTTTTATTACGCGACAATGATGAAGAAAAATAAGAAAAGAAAAGAAGAAATGGGAGGAGACAAAGAAGAAGAAGAAGAAGAAGAAGCAGTAGAAGAAGAAGAAATAAAAGAAGAAGTAAAAGGAATAGAAAAAAAAAAGTAGAAGAAGAAGAAGAAGAAGAGAAGCTACTAATATTCGTTTGGTCACGCATCATTACACTGGCCGACACTTTGAAGTTTTAATAAATGTTTTAATAAATGAGATGAGACAATTTCAGATAATCTCTGTCACGATCGGTAGAAGGAAATATACGAACGAACGGATCATCTCAATTATCTCAAATCGATGTTATATATCTTTAGAGAATTGATTCTTCATCATTTATCATTTCTCGAAGAAAATGATTTATTCAGTTGTTCGTTCCTACGATCGATCGTTAACAAGTTAATCGTTTACAGTTCATTTAGATAAAATAAGAAGAAGAAGAAGAAGAAGAAGAAGAAGAAATGGAAAAACTGATCTCGAAACGAGTAAACACGAAGCAACAAATAAAAAATGTTAAACGAAGAACCGTTCGGTAAGCCCCTTCGTGTTTTTCTTGGTCAACGTTTTAAAAGAGAGTCAATCCTTTAACGGGACGAGGAACAATGGACGACGGAGATCGAGAAGCAGTCGAGCTTCGCGTGATCTAAGAAGATCATCTGAAAGCGATACGCCGAGGAAGTCTCGCTTGTGTTTTACGTTCGAGAGAATCTTCGAACGATTCGTCGTTACACTTGCATTGCGCGACTAGGTTCCGAGCAATGGCGTAATCGAACGATTATGAAAAAGAAAGAAAGAAATAAATAAAGAAAGAAAGAGTTAACACTCATTGTGATATAACTTTCTCCGAATTAATAAATTCTTCATTTGATTTAGAAAAAAATGAAATTTTTTTTGTTTTTTCTTTTCTTTTCTTTTTTTTTTTTTTTTTTTTTTTTTATTTCTACGACCGTATCTCTTATGTCGAAACCTATCTCGTGTTAACTAATTTAAACAAAGTCTTTCTAATGACAAGATAATGGATAATCTTTTTTTGTTCGATGCTCGAGAAAAAGAAATTGGGAAAAAAAAGAAAAAAAAGAAAAGAAACGAAAGATATCTAAATCATTTGTAACGTAAAAAGAGATCGAAATTTTTTCTTTTTTCTTTTTGTCTTTTTTTTATATAACTACGCCGTTAAGCTCAATGATCTTTCATCATGAAAAAATATAGTACTCCATTTTCTAACTCTATTTCACGTTCATCAACGTGAAAACGTGCACATTAGTCGGTACACAACATCGTTCAAGGATTACCTTCGATCGTCGTCCTTTTCTTTTTCCTTTTTTTTTTCTTTCTTTCGTTTTAAGAACCGTGAAAAAAAAAGGAAGAAAAAGGAAAAAGGAAAAGAAAAAAGAAGGATGTCTTAAATTGCACCAACAGGCCGCATACACTTGACCTTTATTTTAACTACGGATGATCTTAAGCGTAAAGAATGGCCCCATAAAAATGTAAAAGCCTGCTGCTGGAACAATACCAGCTGTTAGGCACGGGGGCCATCTTATCTTTAATGTATTATAATTAGAGGAAGTTACGAAAAAGTGGACCTTGTTGGAAGATTCGAATGAAATTTCAAATTCTCCACAATTAATTACTCTCTCTCTCCCTCTCTCTCTCTCTCTCTCTCTCTTTCTCTTTCTCTTTCTTATCTCTTTTCATCTTTTCAAATCGTCCTTGAACATCTACAGATTCTTTTATATGAAAAACAATTTTATATAAATATATAAGAAAATAATTGATTTATAAAAATGATTCGTCAGAATCTATCCTTAACCAATTTCTCTTCGATCAAAGTGAATCGATTGTAAAATATTATAGAAAAGAAAATAAGATAATTTATCCATGATATATTATCTCCATTCTCTTGAATCATGTATTATATACTTTTTAAGGAATACCTACAACACAAGGATTCTTACGATTGATGTGAATCAAGGACTAAAATGCTACGACATTGTTGAAGAATGTTAATCTGATTGCGATTGAAGTACTAAGCGACGAAGAGATAAAGATGGTAAGTAAAAAAGAAAAAGAAACAGAGAAAAAAAAAAAAGAATGATAATAAAAATAATGTGTACATCTCGAAAGACATATGATGTGTGCAATCACTATAGGATTTCTTTGCTGTGAACATCGAAATGATTATCCTAGAAATTTGCGATTATTAGAGATTTTTTGCTGCTTTCCACTCGACGTGGAACGTAACCTTCGAAATATAGACGACTTCCATGTAGAAAGTAAGAAAATTTATTGTAAAAGAAAGTATGAAATAATTTTCATTTGTCTGTCGTGTGATTTTTTTATCGATATAAAAAAAAAAAAAAAAAATACATATATATATATATATAAATAATTTCATAATTACCTATCAATAACAAGCGCAGCCTCATGATTGGTGACGCTGCTGTCTTTAATTGTTAACCTGGAAAAGAAAAGAAGAAAAAAAAAAAAAAAAAACAAAACAAAAGCCTTCGTTAGTTCCTTCTTCTTCGTTCCACTTCCACGAACGGAGAATTCTATTAAAAAAAATTCTCGACTTATCGGAAAAGAAGAATTGATGGAAATAAGAAAATGCAAAAAAGAGGATTGCATTTGTTCAGATCACTTTTTCTTTTTTTTTCTAAACAAATCGTAGGAAATTGATAAGGTAGTAGAGGAAAAAAGAAAAGGAAAAAAAGAAAAAAAAAGAAAAAGAAAAGTGGATCACTTTATAATCAACGAAATCTCGTAGAGAACCTTGACGTTTCACTGAAGTTATTTCCGTTCACATCGGCACTTGAAATGAGACGGATTTGTTGATGTCAATGTCGTTACGAAATAAGGAGAACAAAAATTAAGGAACTCGACTAATGAAAAAAATCCGATGTATATATATATATATATATATATATATATATATATGTATACATATGTACACAAATTTATTAATATACGTTCAGCATGAATTGATCTGAATCATGATATTGATCTGAAACTTTTAAGAACACGCACTACGCGATTGGTTTTTGATCGATGAAGAAAAAAGATAAGAAGATAAAGAAGATGAAAGAAGAAAAAGGAAAAGAAAGAAAGAAAGAGAAAAAAAATAAATAAAATGAAACAAAAAGAAAAAGGAAGAGTGAAAGAAGTAGACTGGCTATTAGAAACTCGCGAGTATATGAAAAAGCAAAATGGATGAGGAAGGTGAAGACTCACCTAACCGATCCGTCGAGTAAAAGACACCGGGATGTTAAGTCACTAGGAATGACTGATGGTGGAGGTGTCGGAGCGATCATATATACTCTTACCGAACGCAACCCCCAACCAGGTAACCGAGCAAACTCCCCCACCAACTTATTATCCAGGGATGCTTCACTCATCCTTCGTCGATTCGTACTATTCATGTTCGGTTTACCTCCTTCTTCTTCTTCTTCAACTTGTCCTCCTTCTTTCCTTCTTTCTCCACTAACCAGAGTTGAATCCCTCTTCTGTTTTTTTTAGAAACGCTTGGCCAACGAGGCTATAGGGACGCGATCTTGTTGGTGATGGAGGTGGGGGCGGTTGTTACAGTGGAAGGTAGTGGTAGTACTGGTAGTGGTGGTGATGCTGGTGGTGGTGGTGATGGTGGTGGTGGTGATGGTGATACCTGTGTTATCCGTAGAAAAGGAACGACAAGGAACGACCTCACGACGACAACTACGACGTAAGTGACCCACCGACGGTTGCCCCAAAGCAAAGCAAAAGCCTTCTCTGTAGGTACTTGAACCAAGCACAACATATCTATGTATGTATCTTCTACTACTCTACTACTACTATTACTATTACTACTACTACTACTACTACTACTACTACTACTACTACTACCTACTCTACTACTACCTATCTTTAACCATCTACCTCCCGCCACTAACCAGGGATCTAGCGGAGATGAGCAGCCTCGTGGGAGGCTGCGGGGTTAGTGAAAGTGAAATACTGCAATTGGAGTAACGTCTCATCCGATGCCTCCTCATCCTCCTGGTATTCCGTGTTC